TGAGATAACTATTAATGATTTTGCAGGGGTCTTTGTGTTTTATACACACTGTTGACCCTTGAACAACGTGAGTTTGAGTTGCACAGGTCCATGCATACACGAATTTTTTTTTTTATAAATGCAGTCCAGTACTACAAGTTTGCTTTCCTTATGATTTTCTTAATATTTTCTTTCCTCTAGCTTACTTTATTGTAAGTCAATACTTTATCGTACAGTATATCATATGTATAACATACAACATATGTATGAATGGACTACTTACATATTGATATTCTGGTCAGCGGTGGGCTATTAGTTCAGTTTGGGGGGGGAGTCAAGAGCTAAATGTGGGTGTGTCTACAAGGGCCCCTAACCCCTCCATTGTTCAAGTGTCTATGTGTCAACTCTGTACCAGCATGTCTTACGTGCCATATACTGTTTAGAAATCTACATTTGCCTTCAACAATCTGTCACAGACGTTCTCTGCGTTAATAGCTGTATACTTTTGCAGCATGTTTAATGTCAGGAGATGTATCCTGAAAGGCGTTATACATACCACAGAGTCCTTGCCTACCGAAGTTTGTTTGCTTTTAAAATTTTTTATCTTAGGGACACCTGGGTAGCTCAGTCGGTTAAGCGTCTGCCTTCAGTTCAGGTCATGATCCCAGGGTCTTGGGAGCCCCGAGTTGGCTTCCCTGCTCAGCGGGGAGCCTGCTTCTCCCTCTGCCCTGCCCCCTGCTTGTGCTCTCCCCACTCCAATAAATAAATAAAATCTTAAAAAAAAAAAAAAAAGAAAGAAAGAACATTTTTATCTTAGGCTTTTCCGATACCTGACTGCATTTTGCAGACCAGATTATTTTTCTACTTTTTTGAATGTTTAGAAAAAATGTTAATGATGGTTAAAGGGTATAAAAGATAACACGATGATATGATGATACGATGTCTTCACTCCCCTCCAACCTCATAAGTAAAACATCATAAAGACAGTGTAACCTCTTTGTATCCCTCCCAGCCTCCCCGCCACCACGGAGGTGATGGTTACCCTGAATCACGTGAGTTTTCACCATCTTTGGTGCCCACAGTGCCCAGGTGCCAGGATCCACGTTTCTAGAAGTTTCTTCTCAGGACCGCATCTCTGTCCCACTCAAAATCCTGAGCCTCCACCAATGAGAAGAGCATTCCTGTGGACGACGAGCAGTCCTTTGGATTTTCTCGTGTCCTGTTTGTTGCCCTGTCGCCCACAGGTGGACCAGTGAAGAAGCGCAGCACTGTTCCTAGTGAAATCAGCCACGTGCTGCCCATCTCAGGCATGAGCAGGTCTTTGATGAGACAGGAAAGTACAGGTGATAACAGATAAAGAGCTGGTGACAGGGGTCAGCAGGGGAAAGTTGGGGAGCCCAGCAGAGAGCCACAGGAGGGATGGGGTGACGGGGAGAAAAGGGGAGCACTCTTTGCCTCCCCAGAGAGGCACCCCAGGGCCACTTTGAGACAAATTGAAAATCTTCCCATAATCGAACTGGGATACTGAATCTTTTTTCCCCTGACAGGAAGACACCCCCCTCCCCCATGCCCTCTTGCTCCGGCTCTTCTGTGCTACCTGGCACCCCCTGGACAGGCCTCCTCTGGCCACCGCTTGGACTGTCTCCCTTCCCAGCTGCCTCTCTCCTGCAGCCGCTGGGATCCTCCTGGCCTTGCCGGGTCCCCACAGCCCTCCTGCCTCCCCCAGCTCCTGTTGCACCGGCGGCCATGCCTTCCACTAGGTGCTCAGCCTCCTTGCTGTGTCGGGGTGCCTGGCGGCCCGCCCGCTCACTGTTTGTGACCCAGGCCCCTGTCGCTTCCTCGCACTTGCACAGCGCGCGGTGTGGTGTAGATTCTCAGCAAGAGTTGTTCATTGATTTGTCTTTGCAGTTTCCATAGCTAGAATCTTTGTCCCCTGTGAGTCATTTTCTTAGCAAAAGATGAAACTCCAGCTCCCTTGTATTGTTAGCATTTCAAGTTCTCGATGTTTCTTCAGTGGCTCCTCCTATCCCAGAATTTCTCCTTTGCGGGAAAGGTTCTGCCACTCAGTTTTCATCTCTTCTACCCTGGGAACTCCTCCCTTGGCATGTTCTAGTCCATCAGCCCCACTCTGGGAAGGCCGGAGATGCTCCGTCAGCCCTGAGATGGCCACCTTCCCCACTCTAGTAGACCACACTGTCCCCCCACCCACACTTTGGGGGCCCCTTTGGGACCTGGGCGTGGGCCCGGTTCTGTCGTTCGGCTGTTACATCAACTTCGCCGACGGTGGTGGCTCATGGCTGCCACTGAGGAGAGCAGCCTGGTGTCACCTCAATCTTGGATGGGGGGTGTGGAACAGTCCCACGCCACACTGTGACTTGACCCAGAGTTAGGCCCAGTTCTCGCTAGGGAGCTGGGCCACGCGGCTGGCACCTTTGGCTCCCTTCTTCCTTGTTTTGCTGCTTTCACCCCATGCTGGAAACCGATAGACTTTTTTTTTTTTTTTTAAGATTTTTTATTTATTTATTTGACAGAGATCACAAGTAGGCAGAGAGGCAGGCGGGGAGAGAGAGGGGGAAGCAGGCCCCCTGCTGAGCAGAGAACCCAATGTGGGGCTCATTCCAGGACCCTGGGATCATGACCTGAGCGGAAGGCAGAGGCTTTAACCCACTGAGCCAGGTGGGTTAACTCCACTGACACCACCTAGGTGTCCCCCGATAGACTTTTTTCCAGGCAGGGGCTCTGGTGCTGAGCCAGGCAGAGCCAGTCATGGAGCTTCTGGTCATAGTAGTTCTCAGCCCTGCTAAGAGCTTTTTTAAAAATGCAGGTGTCTGGGCCCCACGGCTGACGGTTCTTGTATGGCAGCTCTGCCTCAGAGTCTGGGCACCCACAGCTTGTTAAAGCTGCACATTGTTTCCTGCGCACGGCCAAGGATACAGGCTACCTGGCTTGTTCTATTCGGGACTGCCAGAGACGGGCTGGATTCTCACCAGAGGGAATTTATTTCCTGCAGCTCTGGAGGCTGGGAAGTCCGAGATCAAGGATGTGGCTGGTCCGAGATCAAGGTCCATGTCTGGGGTGGGCCCACTTCCTGGGTCATAAACAACCATCTTCTTCTGTCCTCAGGGGGCAGAAAGCGGGAGGAAGCTCTCGGAGGACTGGTTATAAGGTGCTAAGCCTGTGACCTAATTGCCTCATGGAACCCTGTGACCGCATCACCTCCCAGAGGCCCCACCTCCTAATACCACACACTGGGGTATTTAGCCTATGAATCTGGGGGAGACACAAATGTTCAGTCCACTGCCCTGCCGTGTGCTGAGCAGTTTCTGTGGCGAGCATCACCTGAGCCCTTTCTGCAGGTTATCCGCACCTGCGTCTGGTCAGACCCTCGCAGGCACTGCCGTGTACCGGCCATCCTCACTGGAGACCTGTTTGCATTCACCATCTCTCTTCTCACACCCTCTCCACCACCGCAGGATTCATCTGGTTCCCTGCCCCTTTTGTTTAGATCTGAATTTCCCCCACAACTCGGTGTTCACTTCCTGGGCCATTGGCAGTAACCTCCTAACTAGTCTGTGGGATTTTCTTCTCTCCATCTTCTTACCCGATCTACGCAGCATAGGCAACTGAGTTCTCATCCTCAAGAAGTTCCCTGAGGGCTCTAGGTGGCCCACGAAAAGGACTCCTGTCCCCTCCTTTAGGCCTGGAATTCGTTCTACTCAAGCCTGCCCTTGCCCATCAGCTCAGCTTCTCTGCTGCCACTGCATACCCGGGCTCCACTGTGCCGATTTTCTCACCGTCCCCCAGAGGTGCCATGCTCTCACCTTCTTGTCTTTCCCTACGCCCCTCCACCGGCCACAATTTCTTTTCTCCCTCAGATCCACTTCTCAAACCTCAGTGCATGCCTCAGGACCTTCCTCTTGAGGGGCGTCTGGGTGGCTCAGTCGTTAAGTGTCCAACTCTTGATCTCAGCTCAGGTCTTGATCTCAGGGTTGTGAGTTCAAGTCCCGCGTCAGGCTCTACACTGGGCATGGAGCCTACTTAAAAAAAGGAACAAATGAAAAAAAGCGCTCACCTCTTAAAACTTCTGTGGTTGCGTTGGCTGATTGGTAGCTGCTCCTCTGTGCTTCTGCAGCACAGCTTTCTTCTAGAATTGTTGGTACTCCCCCAAAAGACCAGGGAGCCTCCTGGGACAGAGACCTTATTTGATTCCTGAATCCATAGCAGTGAGCACAGGAGCGCAGGCTGAGCACCAAGTAGGTTCCTGGTGAAGATGGGTTATTGCGACCTGGCTTAGGCCCAGACATGGCCTGTTTCCCTTCTGCTCAGATGGGCACGCAGCCCCGGTAGAGTCTCATGGCATTTTGGGTCTGCCACACAAAGGTGTTGAGAGTTAGAACAAAACGCACAGTATCCACAACCATATGAAAAGGAGGGGCACCTGGGTGGCTCAGTCAGTTAAGCGTCTGCCTTCGGCTCAGGTCATGATCCCAGGGTCCTGGGATCGAGCCCCGCATCCGGCTCCCTGCTCAGCGGGAATCCTGCTTCTCCCTCTCCCTCTGCCGCTGCCTGTGTTCCCTCTCTCGCTGTGTCTTTCTGTGTCAAATAAATAAATAAAATCTTTTTTTTTTTTTTTTAAGTACGAAAAGGATGGGATAGCGAATAAGAGGGTAGTTCTAGTCAAAAAGCAAGTCAGAAATCTGAGGGCAGTGGCTCACAGCTGCTTTTGGATTCTTAAGAACCAAATACAGATTACCAATGATTCACACAATAGGATTGGTTAAAAATAAATAAATAAATAAATAAAACTTGATTCTAGTTTAAACACTAATTTTCCTGAGGGAAATTTTTTGGTCCATAAGTGTCCCTCAGTATTGGCATAATTCTGAACACACATGTCGTTGGGGTGAAAATGTCCTGTCCGTGTGTGTAGTTGTTGCTTCCAAGTGACCATCCCCACCGTGGAGCATCAGAACTCCCGGAAGCCCTAGGCTAGCCCTGAATGCCTTTCCTCTTTCTGACAGGGAGCAGTGCCCAAAGGAAATGCCACTAAAGAATTCATCGAGAGTTTACAGCTGAAGCCCGGACAGGTGGTGTACAAGTGTCCCAAATGCTGCAGCATCAAGCCCGACCGAGCCCACCACTGCAGGTACCCACGTCCGCCCCCCTCCGCCCCCTAACCCCCACCTCTCACATGCTCTGGAGCAGCGCCCCACCCCTGCTCCCCACGTGGGCGTCCTCAGCAATAGGACTTCTGAACGTCCCCTGCTCTGGGCACCTGACCACTGTGACTCCTTCCTGATCTCCATGAGCTCCCCAGATTGGAAAGGGCATTTGGTTTGGGCTCAGGACACCTGTCCTAAGACTTGACTCTGCCACCTCTCACGAAGGACCCTGCCAGGCCCTGGACTCTCTCCGTCTGTCTGTAAAATTAAGGGGTTCCTGCTCATTCTGCCTCAAAGCTTTATTACCTTTTAAGGGCATAGGAGACAGACCTTTGGAAAATCATTCTGAGTGTCCGGCACTTGATCCATTTAAGAGGTGGGCCCTACTCACTTGACACTCAGAGGGAAACGAAGGGGCTGTGCCTGAAGGCGATGTTTCTTTAAAACAGAACTTCTAGAGGTTGTGACAATTGTGGGTTCGGCCAAAAAAGGCTTTTCCTCCTCTCATCTCCGGTGATTTTTCAGATTTTCAGATTTTCAGATTTCTTCATTGTTTTGAGTCTTCTCAGCGAGAAGACATCTAGCTAAAAACTGCATTTTATCACTCCAAAAGGGACTTTAAATGCTAAATTACCCTTGGTGCCCCTTGGTCCTTTTCTCAGACTCGGGCTGGGGGAGGGCAGCCAGGAGGGGCACACCGAGCTTACACAGCTGGTGAGTGCCACAGACAGACGTGGGGCCCAGTGTTTTTGGCTCCAGTCCAGGGCTCTCTCCACTAGAACTCCAGTTTGGGGGTGACTTATGTGTCCTGATGGACTTGTATGTATGTCTTTCTGTCAGAAAGAGAGATGGCCACCTCCCCAACTAGTTGGCCTCTCTTGAGGGTGACAGCTGAGGAGACTTGGACAGGGCCTGAGGAGCCTTGGACAGGGCCTGTGCTAATTGCTGTCTCCTGTGGGGTTTCCAGCAGTTTGGAGAAGCTGAGCCCAGCATGGGGCCAGTTCACTTCTGAGATCTGGGTTACAGACCAATGCAGGGCTTGCTGCTCATGCCTGGGGTGGAGGCACCTGTCTAGCCTTTTCTGCCACCTGTTTTCATCGCCTAAGTGAAGAGGCCCCATTTGCCTATGTGGTTCCCCATTCCCCGACTCTGGGCAGCCCAGTATGCTGAGTGGGCTCCTGCCTTGAATTTGGAGAGTTCGGCATTAGAAGGCCAGCAGGGACCCCACCACACTGTGGGACCTCGGACCAGGCAGCAGCACGTCTCTGAGCTCAGCTCTGTCCTCTGCAAAGGCGGTTGTTGCCCGGCGGCTTGCCGTGAGCATTAAACAACGGGAGTTGCTGGTCCCCCAGCAGAAGCCACTGGTTAGTGGAGGCGTGTGCGAGCGACAGGGCACATTAGGTTTAGAGGCTGGAACAGCAATAGGGAGGCGCGAGTTTTGCAGGAAAGAACTTTTGGGGGACCACAGTGGTTCTTTCTCTTCCCTCCCTGAGCCCTCGGCTGCCTCCACTGCCTGGCATTTTATTCACCGCCTCCTCCTCGCCTTTTTTCCCCGGGATGATCCGAGGGAGGTATTCTTGAGTGCTAGTAAACAAATCAGCTTGAGCAAAACAAGAGCTGCTGATTCAGACAAAGTCGAGTGAGGATGCCTGTGTGTCGCCTGCTTCCGCGTCAGGAAGTGTGTGCTGACAACTGCTCCTCTGTGAGGGCTCGCGGCCGCCCAGGTCATCTGGGGACCCACAGTTTGGGATAAGCACAGTTCCCAGCACAGCAGACAGAGCCGGGTTGACGACTGCTTGAGCAGACTGGCTCGAGAGAGTCGGTGTCCGTGTCCCTGCTCGAGTGAAGGCGCGTGTCTGTGTGCGTGAGCACGCCCCCGGCTCTTGGGATCCTGTCCTCCTGACGGAGCCCCATGGAATTTAAGTCCATCCCCACTCCCTGAGCTCTGATAGGTACCACAGATGCTCCCTGACCCTGGACGCGTGGGTATTCCTTCCAGCCCAGGGGTGTGTCGTGGGTCTTCTGCCCACAGAGAGGCATTCCAGAACCCCAGGCTGCTTTCGTCCTGGCAGTTGAGGACCATGGAGGCCGGTGGAAACACTAGAGAGGGAGCCATTCATGCTAAAGTGGACAGCCAAGGTGTTGGGCTTAAGACTTAGGTTCCTCTTGCACAAGGAGGTGGAGACCTGTGCTCCTGGCAAAGCCTCACACGCCTCCCCTTGCCGCCTGCCCCCACAAACACATGCACACTGAGGCTGAGACCATCACAGACTGCTTAGGGCCCCTGCTTGATTCTTACGTTTTCTCTTTCATGGTCATGACCACCAATAAAATTTATGTAGCGCTAATACTGTTTTTAAAGCATTTTACCTACATCATCTCTAATTGGGAAATGGGGACCAGTTCTGCAGAGGATAGTTCGGAGAAGCTAAGTTGCTTTGCCCAGGGCCCAGTGTGGGGATCCGAGAGCAGTGTTCTTTCTGCCACACCGGACTTCCTTACTCAACATTCTTGCTGAGCTGGGACCAGGATGTGGTAGACCCTTTTTTGCAGGAGGTGTGGGGTGAAAACCTGGACGTGGTCCACCTAGTGTCCTCTTGCTTTGTTCTCCGCTCGTGCCCTGCCAGGCGTCCCAGTCTGATACGCTGGAGCCACAGCCCAGGCCTGCTCTTTCCCCATCTGTAGCTTCAGGGCCTGCACTTGGCCCCCACCTTACTAAGGGGGTCTTGGGCCTGATCCTGGGCCGGAGCGGTGGATTAGACATTGACCCTGACCCTAGGGGCTCCCACTGAGGCAGGGCAGATGTACCTTTCCACCCGATACAGTTTGGTAAGTGCCTCTGTAGGGGGAGATGCAGACCCTTGGGGACACAGCTGTATTTCCACGGTGGGCCATCGCCCAGGCTTGGGCAAGGGCCTCAGCCAGCGACTTTGGGGCTGAGAACCAGGAGCCTCAGTGCACGTGAGCCGAGGAGCTTCTTGGGCTCTACCAAGCTTTTGAAGGAAGTGCTTTGGGGCCTGAAAAATGGCAGGGAACCTGGAAGAATAGAGAAGAGGGGCATTGCCTTCCTCTCGAGCATTGATTTAAAAACACAGAAGGGGCTCAGGAAACCCTAAGGCAGGGACATCAAAAGATGCTTACATGGAAGACGTTCGTTCTTTGCAGTGACTATTCCCACAGGCTTGGGAAACGCTGCCAGGCCCGCGGGTGCCTACACCCCAGGAGTGCGCCTGCGCACAGCGGCTCGCACGAGGGTCAGCAAGGGGTGCCCGAGAGGAGTCCCGGGAGAGGGCTGGCACACACTGGAAGGAAAGAGCAGCAAGGAGCCCCAGAGAGGAGAGAGCAAAAGGGCCCTCCCTCTGCCTGCTGTGTCCCCAGCCATGGGCGATGGGAAGAGGGCTGCCTCTGAGATGACCAAGAACCCCCGCTGGGGTATCCGGGGTTGTTGGAGGCCCACATTTTTCCTTCCTGGGGATGGATAGGGCCCAAGGCAAAGCAACTGGGCGGGACATGGACAGGCCTTGCCCTTGGCGTTCTCCAAACCCCAAATGCCGAACCTTTCAGGCTGGTGGTTTTGTGAGTCGTGGGCAAGACATCTCAGATCAGGGCCTCTTGCCACGCTTCCCGGGTGGACTCCACACCCACACGCACCACCGCCTGGCCCTGGCGCTTCTGAACAATCCTGCGTGCCGGGGGAGAGGGTCGGCCTCGGCATTCCGTGTCTTTGCAGGCAGGAAGCTCAGAGCCGGGCACAGTGGGCCAACTTCGGCCACTCTCAGCGGCTGTGCTCACTTGTCCCTGCTCCCTGGAGGAAGAGGAGGAGTGTCCTGATATGGCCGCCAAGCAGCACGTAGCCCGTCATGAAACTCTGTTCCCGGGGTGCACGCCGGGGCTCTTTAGAGGCCGGGAGGAGAGCAAAGGATGGATTAGTCTGAGAACTTGAAACTTGGGCGGCTTTCAGAGGCTGTCAGGCCACTTGGGTGCTGTCTGCTGCTGAGCACACTGCCTCAGGGCGCCCACTAGGAACCCCGTGCGGAGGAGGCGCGGATGGAGGAGAAAGGGCTCAGGGACCGGGGGCAGGGAGGGTGTTACCCCTGGGAGTTTGGTCCCCTGGTTGGAAGGGAGCAAAGACACCGGAGCTGAGGTAGCCCGTGCAAGGTGGCTCTGTCGTGGGAACATGGGGCCTGGGGGCTGAGGCCCAGGATGCAGGGAGTGGCCCTGTCTTCATTCTCTGCTCTGTACTCCGAAAATTATATCCTGGGAACAAGTGTTATCAGTTGAAATCTCTATTCTACATAATCATATGTACGTTTTTAATTAGTAACACATGCACACAGAGAGCAAGACGGGTACCCGACTTTGTCTTTATAGCCCTCTGTGTCCCTTTCATGCCTCTTTCCTCCCCTGCCCTCCTGGCTCCCCAGGAGAACCTAGAGCGGGGCCAGCCTCTCTCTGAGATGTGCCCATTCCCCCCTATGCTAGTGAGGACCTTCAGAGTTGTGGAGGACAACCAGGGTGGAGACTGGCCAGGCCCCCACAATCAGTTCTCACCTTGTCCTTACAACACTTACTTGCTATGGACGGGGAACCCGAGGCCCCGAGTCTGGCCAGTCTGACCAAGATAGCTCAGCAGGGCCCAGGCCGACCTTGTCACTCAAACTCACACCCTGCTCAGAAAAGGCAGCACGTCCTCCTCGGGGTACAGATGAGCCCGCAACTTTGAGTCATCCGTGGCCTCGCCGCGGGGCCCTCCTGCACAGTGGTCTGTGCTTCCTGGCCTGCGGTCTGGGGAGCAGCTCGCCTCCACTCCCAGAAGAGCTCCTCCTGCGCCTTCCCTGCCCAGACAGGCAGCCTGCCAGAGCTCCGCAGGCGTGAGCTCCCCATGCGGGAACGCGACACCGCCCTTTCCGCCAGGGTCCCCCCGCCGGGGCCCAGAACCTGGGATAAAGTTAGCTGTGGAAACTAGTGGAAAGAAAACCTGGTGTGAGCAAAGGTGCTTTCAAAACAGAAAACCCTTTATTTACAGTATTTCGAACTGTTTTGAACAAGTGACGCCCCAAGATCATGTCAAGGAGCCTGTGTTAACAAATGGAGACAGGACCCATTTCTAGGGAGCCCATCGGTTGGCAAAGGGGTGTTTCTAAACCCGAGTTTTGGGAGTAGGTGCTTTCAAGCCCCCAGGAGTCTGCACTCCTGTTACAGATTATTTCTTTCGAACAGGGATGTTTGCTGTCAGGTAAACTTGAAACAGCCTCAGTCCCAAAAGGAGCCCAATTACAAGTTAGCAATCTGCAAGTTCATGGGATTTCTGATCAACACTTAAATACATTCTGCTTTTGCAGCTAAGTGGTTGTTACCTTCCAGCTGAAAAGTCTTGCCCCCGGGACATCCTGCCCTTGAGCCCTCTCCACCTCTCCCAGCACCCTCCGTGGTCAGCCCCGCCCTTCCACCTGGCACCCACGCTTGGGTTCTGGGTGTTTGGAGGAAGCTGGGAGCAGCTGTTCTCTGTAAACTGCCCCTGCGCTCTGTCCCCACAGTAAACCAGCTCGGGGCTTACTGTCCCCGCCAGAGACCAGCCTCCTGTTCAGCCCCTCAGTGCCACCGTATTTCAAACAAGAGAAGGGGCCTTGTGGGCCAGTGACTGTCCCCTATTGGGAATGAGTGGGACCCTGGGGGTCCTGACCCTGCCTTCCAAGCCCCTTGCCACACCCCTAGCCATTGTGGGGCAGTGCCCAAGGAGGCCCCAAGCGTGGAGCAGAGTGGGGGGCTGGGTTCTCTGCTCGGCTGGGCCCCTGCTGCCCTGAGGACAGCCCTTGAGGGTCTGCCTTGTGGGCCTTTCAGCGTTTGTAAGCGGTGTATTCGGAAGATGGACCACCACTGTCCCTGGGTCAATAACTGTGTCGGCGAGAACAACCAGAAGTACTTCGTCCTGTTTACAGTAAGTCCTCTTCCCAGTCCTGTCCCACCTTCCGTGGAGTAGCCAAGCGCTTCCGTCCTTCGAAAATTCTTGGCACTCAGTGTTTTGTGCTGCGGTTCGGAATCCTGCCTGGCCGTGGACACCTCCGCCTTCCTGCCAGAGCACCCCTGGGCTCAACAAGCACCTGTTCCTAAGCCCTCCGCTTGAGCATCTAGAAAACCGGCTCAAGTCCATCGGCTCTAAGCTAGGGCCATGTGCAGGGCTCCCACCCCAAGTGTCCAGTATAAGCAGCTCCAGAAGCCAGTTTTGGTGGTGACCACAAGCCCTCCCTCAACCTTACCTACCTCCCTTACCTACCCACAACCTGCGGGTAAGTAGGAAGATTTAGTTAGAGAGCCGCAAGAGCCCTTGGCAATCAGCGCCCCTGAGTTTTCAGGTGCCGGGAAGCCACCGGCCCAGAGCACGCCCAGCCCACCTAGAGCCCAGAGCCCAGGTCGCACCTGGCAACGGGCACTTGTTTCTGTCTTGTGTCTTCTGCCACATACTCTCACCTCGGTCCTCCTCACCGGAGGCCTGTCTGGCTCTCCCAGTCAGCCCTCAGCCTGCGTGAGTGTTCCGGCGGGGGTTCCTGACACCCCTGTCTTGGGAGCCAGCAGGGTCAGAAGGTTCTCACAACAATGGTGTCTGCACTGCTTTCCTGTTTCAGATGTACATAGCTCTCATTTCCCTGCACGCCCTCATCATGGTGGGATTCCACTTTCTGCACTGCTTTGAAGAAGACTGGACAAGTGAGTATGTGCCAGGGCCCCCCTCCTGCTCCAGGGGTGGTGTGCGACCCAGGCGGGCTGGGCTCTTGGTTAGTGTTATGGTGCCAGAGGCCAACCCCATTTTATTAGATCTGCTACAAGCCTACGGACTGACCAGGGAAGGGACAGCAGAGGCCCAAATCTCTCTTCATGAAAAAAAGCAGCCCCCTAAAGTCAGTTCCACAGGTAAAGAAGTGAGTTGGACAGGCTCTCTAGCCTGAGCGCGCCCAGGGGAAAGGCAGGCCCCCACAGGGAGTGCGTTCCTCCTGCAGGCACGGGAGCCTTGCCAGGGAGAGAACCTTTGTCTCCTGGTCTTTAAGAAAAGGCACTTTAGGGGCGTCTGGGCGGCTCAGCCGGTTGAGTGTCTGGCTCTTGATTTCAACTCAGGTCTTGATCTCAGGGTGGTGAGTTCAAGCCCTACGTTGGGTTCCATGCTGGGCACGGAGCCTACTTTAAAAAAAAAAAAAAAAAAAACAGGAGGAGGCACTTTAATCAAAAGTCATTTCATTCCGATCTCACAGAAATCCATTCTGAACTTTCCTTTTCTGTGGGTGTTTTTTAACTGCTTCATTACCAATCCACGTTAAGATCGCAGAGCAGCCCTTTCTGCTTCCGCGGTGTCCCTTTCGTGCGCAAACATTGAGGAAGGAACTCCGGCCAGAAGGCCACACGAATCCTGGGGGGAAAAATAGATGCTGGGAAAACCGATGCCGTCTTATGATTTTAAAGAAAAATAAAAATAAGAAGGGAGAAAAAAAGCTTTTAACAGATGCTGGAGGAATTAAGAGAGGCCACGGGTCAGACGAGAATCTCGCACACAAACTCCGTGAGACAAGTGTCTTGAGCCAAAGCATCAGATGGGCCCCCTTCTCCATCGCACCATCTTCCAGAACTTCACTCTTCCCGTGCCTCATGTCTTCTCGGGCACCAGCTTGCTGTTCTTGTTCCCCAGAACTGGGGAGGCCGTGGGAAGGTTGGGGTCTTTAGCCCCTGGCTGGGCGTGGAGAGGCTGGCCTGGCCCACCAAGGGAGGAGAACCCCACGAGTCTCAGTCAGCCTGCGCTGCCGTGTCGGAATGCCACAGACTAAGTGGGTCTCTCACAGTTCCGGAGGCCTGGAGATCCAGGAACACGGTGCCAGCCAATTCGGTCCCTGGGGCCGCCTCTCGGCCTGGCTCACAGATGGCCAGCTTCTCCTCGTGTGCTCATGTGGCACTCACCACATCACGGGCCATCCCCTCCCCCACAGCTCCTGACCTCACAGAACCCTCATCGCCACCCAAAGGCCCCATCTCCAGATAACATCACACGATGGGTGGGGCTCCCACATATGAATTTTGCAGGTGACACAGTTCAGTCGGTGTCACCGTGTCTCCCAGGTTTCGTGACTCCTGCAGTTCTGAGCGCAGCCAGCCAGGGGGAGGGTCAAGCTGGCAGGGAGTAGGGAGAAGAGGAGGGGGCAGGTGGATTTCTGCATTCGGACCATTCTGCAGAGCCGGACGGGGCCCCAGCACATTCCTTGGTGACAGTTCTGCGAGTGCACACACCCTGCTAGGGCCCCGGGATCCAGTCCAACTCCAGATGGGGCCTTGGCAACTTGGCAACGCAGTCTGACCGGGACGTTTACTAAGCCCGTCGCTCCCTCCACCCACCACTGTCAGGTTAACAGACTCAAGCAGTGACGAGAATGCCCTGGACCCCCTGTGAGGCAGAAGTGTCTGTCTTTGGAGCACAGCTGGCAGGGGCCGTGTCCTTACTGCCCGCTGAGAGCCAGCTGGGGCGCACAGGGGTCCAGCCAGTCCCCAAGCTCACATGTTTAAGAGGAGGGCCATGATTCAAGCCCCGGTCTGGAGTGGGCTCTTCCAGCCCTGCCTCAATGACCCCAGGGCCTAGGGTCCTCCCTGAGGACTGTTGGTTGTTTTCAGTCAAGATTCCTGAGGGAAGAGGCTTGAGGCAGCAGTGCCTGTGGCCACTAGGCTAGGAGGACAGTCCCCAACACGGAAGCCTGAGATTGGCCCAGTGCGACAGTGACCACCATCACTGCTCAGCCGTGGACGAGGGGCCTCGCATCCAGCTTGTGTAAGAAGGGGAAGGGATGTCCCCAGAATGAGGGCACTGTGAGTTGAGGTTTAACAAAGGGTGGAGTTAGGTCGTTTACATTCCCTGGGTCAGGTTCCTGCCTCCCTACCTCCATTCGTAGCTCCCAGGGCCAGCCCAGGACGGGAAGGATCCAAGTGGCTGGGTGAGGACGGAGAGTGGGCCCCGGTGCCAGGCTCTGCCTCCCGCTCCAGCCCCAGGGCAGCCGAGGTGGGGAAGGAAGGAGCAAGGCGCCTCCATCCCATGGGCACCCCCTGCGTGCTTATGCTGGGCCCCGGCCAGCCTGTGCGGATATTCTCACACTTTCTCAACCGCGCCTCCCAGCGAAAGGGAAAACTACGCTCAGAGAGCCCCGGCCATGTGCCCACACTCCCGTGTTGTCTGGCTCTGCTCCAAGATGGCTTGTACAGCAGGGAGCAAAGCCCCGGCCTCCCAGGGCTAGAGGTGTGGTGGGCAAGGCAGACAGCAAGCCAGGACAGGAGCAAATGGGACTCCACGGGGTGCGGCGCGGGAAAGACGCGGGAGCCACAGAATATTAGTGGTGGCTTCTTAGCAAGAGCTCGTGGTGGGGAGTTGGCTTCAGGATCCTCACCCTGCTGTGTCTGCCTGACTGGAACCCTCATCCTGCCCGCCACCCGGCCCCGCGCAGGCGGCTGCCACACCCGGAGCCTCCAGGGGGCCATCCCAGCCAAGAAAGCCAGAGGGGACAGCTCTGTGGACGATGTTGAGCCCTGAGGGGAGCGTGAGGAGATGAAGGCATTTGGATGATCTGTTGCTCACCCCACCACCCGGACAGTAACAGCGCTGTGTCTCCGGCCGGTTCTGAAGGTCCCGTGAGGGAAGCAGCAAGGAAGCCCCAGATTCCCTGAGTTCCCAAAACCCAGGAAAGCCCGGCCCTGCCCTCCCAGATCGGACCCCTCCGGCCAGGGCAGCAGGCCTGGGCCCTGGGCCAACGAGAAACCTGCACCACAAGCCGGGCCGGGACCCCCGTCTCCCAGTGTCGTCCCCATTCCCCCAGGCACCCCCACCCACACCCCCTCCTGCGGCACCTCAGTTTTCCTCTCCCGTCGGGGGCTCTTCTAATTTAGACTTGGTCCAGACATAGGCTTCTGCTGTTGCTGAAAATAGAACCACATATCTGGTCAAGCCTCGCTGCTCTGTGAGGAGGGGGTGGAGGCCTGGACGGGGACAAGGACTGGTCTGAGGTCTCACACACATACCCCCGGCAGCCTGGGCTCAGAGAGGTGGGGAGAGCAAAAGCAGCCACTCGGGGGCCGGGGGCGCGTTTCCCCGGGGGCTTGCTTCACCCCTAGCTCGGGGCCAGGCCTGGCCGCCAGACTGCCCCCTTGTACACGTCAAATCCCAAAACCCCTGAGTGAGCCTCCAGATCTGCCCCTTCCTGTCCCCCAGAAGCAGACAGAGCTGCAGGAATGTCCAGAAAATTAGTGGCCAAACCGGAACCAGCCTGAGGCCGCCCCACCTGTGCAGCCTGTGTTGTGCTCTCTGAGGGGAGGGGGCTCTCCCTGTCTTCACACCTTCACGCGGTGCAGCCTTTCTGGGTCCTTCCATGTGCAGGCACCATGCTTGGCAGCAGGGCACAGACACTGGCCGGGGAAAGAGCAGGGGTGAAGGGGTGTCAGGAGGGGAAGCCCCGGCAAGGGCCTGTCCTGTGGAGAAGGGCCTCCCCGAGGGAGTGCCGGCGCAGCTGGGTGGCGCCTGCCGGGCCCCGGGTCCAAGGACACGTGGCACACGTGGGAGGAACCAGGTCCTGTGGGGCCGGAGGCTGAGTGGGGCCCTGGGGACGTCGAGTGGCGGGCAGGGCGAGGCAGCCCCAAGTCCCACACGACCCTTCTTGCAGAGTGCAGCTCCTTCTCGCCGCCGACCACAGTGATCCTCCTCATCCTGCTGTGTTTCGAAGGGCTGCTCTTCCTCATCTTCACCTCCGTGATGTTCGGGACGCAGGTGCACTCCATCTGCACAGACGAAACGGTAAGCGGGCGGCCTGTCCCCCGCCTCCGCTCTGTGGCTTGCGGGGGTCCCAGGGCGGATGCTGCGGGGAGGGCTGCGTGCAGGCTGGACCTGGGAGCCCAGCCAGCCAGGCCCAGGAGGGAGGTGTGCCGGCTGCGTCCCCCCATTTGCAGTAACTCTGGACTTACACACACACACACACACACACACACACACGAGTCTTTTCTTGGGGCTGGCATAGCAAGTCACACCAGGAATGGGGCCTAGCAGCCTCGGTGAAGGGTGCCCTTTGCCAAAAGTCCTTCCGTCCTCCCATGATGGTTCCGTGTTACATGCTCCGCTGTGTCAGGCGCTCTGCTGGGCACAGGGCCACGCTTCCCATCTGAGAACTACAGTCCTAAGGAGGGGATGATGGACAAACGGTGCCTGAATCCAGCTGGAGTGGGCAGGGTCCGCTTCCTGGAGGAGGTGACTCCGTGAGTAGGTCCCAAGGGCAGAGTCAGGAGACAGTCTGCCTCAAGCATCCCCGAGCTCTGGGCCCCTGGCGCCCACCTGCCCACTGGGTACCGCCGCTTGGTCCGGCTCTGGTTCTCGTCCATTTCCTCCCCCTCCATACCCCATCCCTACCTCCATCCTACCCACAGCTCCTTCTCTGGGAACTTCGAGGCTGCTGGCGGGGACAGGACTGGAGCCTACTCCCCTGGTGCTATGGCCACCTGTCTGTCCTAAGTGTCCAAAAGCCTCCAGGTGGTCAGTCTGTTGCTGTGACATGGACCTTTCTTCCTTTTTGGCTCTGGGTTCCAGGTGAGGGGCCCTAGGAGGAAGGGGCAGCACTGAGCTCCCTGTGAGGAGCAGAGGCATGAGGTCCCAGGCCCTTCTCGGCACTCCTCCTGGCTTCCCAAGCTCCCCTCTGGTGACAGATGGCAGCGTCAAAGGGGCCTGCTGGTCAGTCCACATCAGATGGAGGCTCGTAGGGAGACAAGACTCCTTGCCACTGCTGTTGGGACACCATCTCTTGGATCTGTGGGAATTCCCAGTGGTTTAGAATGTTTCGGGGGGCTCTCAGCAACTTTATCTTCTATAAGAAATAACATCATCATAAGAGTTTTTCTAAAAACAGCCAATGGTATAGACCCGGCTATGTGTCCAAGCAGGAAGTGTGACCAGCTTCTCCGCCTAAGACCCACAGGGAACCCAGAGGTGACGGTCATTCCCCCTCCCTGCCCCCCCGCCACTGTTGTCTGCGGCGCCCCACACAGCCTGCAGTCTGGGGGAGCCAGAAGGACAGCTCACACCCTTGGCCCTGGCTCTTCTTCCCCTTCCGGCCCCTTCCTAAAGGGAGTTGTGCTGGAAAGGAAAGCAGAAAAGAAGGAAGGGTGCATCTGGAGAAAGCGCGTCTTCCCCTCCGCCTGGACCCTCCCAGCTCCCTCGCCTGAACAGAGATTTGAGTTAGGCTGAGCCCTCCTACTCCTTCCCGTTCCTCCTCCTCCCCAGAGACCAGGGCAGACAGACCCCCGGGCCAGGCGCCTGCCAGGCCACTTCTCTCCTGTTCTCCGAGCAAAGACACATCCTCGGGCCCTGCCCGCTGTCCAGCTCCATCAGAAGAGGGGGAAAGGGAGGGAACAGGCTTCCTCACCAGCCTACTTTTCCTGTGAGACTCGGTGTGGGGAGCAGCCCAGGCTCTGGGCACCCACGAGCGTGGCCTCTGGGCCCGCTTTTTCCCAGAGAAGCACTAGGAAGACCTTTGCCATGCCCGGGGCTGGCTGGCTGTCCAGGCAGCTCCTCTAACCTATGCTAATCCCTTTCCTTCCTCCTCTGTGGTGGCTTCTCTCCTTCCCTACAGTCTCTGACTCCTGTTGGACCTTCTCAGGTCCGCCTTGCCCACCCCGCTGAGCTGGGTGCTTCCTGACCTCCCAGGCTGGGGGGACTAACAGCGCCTGAGCAGGTCCTTTCATTTGTTTCTTTTTTTTTTTGTCTGCAAAGTGGTCACAGTCGTGTCAAACTTGAAGCTACCCAAATTAAAGGCCAGCATTGGCTGTCACGGTCACAAGCCCCTGCCGGCTCTGAGGCTTCTGGCACCAGAGCCCTCACAGCATCCCCGGACCATAGCCAGGCCCAGCGCCAGGCCCAGAGCCCCTCTGTACCGCCCAGTGTGCGTACATGTCGCGCCTTCAAACTTAGCAGAACAGCCCGACACGCCTGTGGGAATCCAGGCTCAGCGGCCTCTGGATTTGCTCATTTTCCCCCTCCCTCCCTGGAGGGGCTTTGCAAATATATGCCCACATACCCCCACCCCCACTACCCCCCCAAAAATGCAATTTTTTTCCCTTTGACACTTTATGAGAGAAAGAGAAGGAAAATGTACGATGTAGGTAGGTTTGTGGCTTTCAGAGGGAGCAATGACACAATTTACCTCAGGCTAATGGACATCCCTTCCCCAAAAACCACAGCAACAAAGAGCTTGACTGAAAGTATGATTGTTCTTGTTTTCAGGGAATAGAACAATTGAAAAAGGAAGAGAGAAGATGGGCTAAAAAAACAAAATGGATGAACATGAAAGCCGTTTTTGGCCACCCCTTCTCTCTAGGCTGGGCCAGCCCCTTTGCCACGCCAGATCAAGGGAAGGCAGACCCGTACCAGTATGTGGTCTGAAGGACCCGACCAGCATTGCCACCCAGACACAAACCGCATCACAGCACTACCGTCCCCTCCGTTCTCATGAATGTTTAAATCGAAAAAAAGCAGAACAACTACTCTAAAACTTTTTTTTAATGTCTCAAGTAAAATGGCTGAGCATTGCAGAGAAAAAAAAAATGTCCCCATGTTTTTATTTTTAAGAGATCATCCCTTCTATTTTTTTGGTGACCGAAGCTGCTCCTCTTCTTTTTTTTTTTTTTTTTTTTTTCCTTTTTTTTTTAAATCACTTCTCTGGCCTCTGGTTTCCTCTCTGCTGTCTGTCTGGCCTGACTAACGTGGAGGGCGCTGTCTCCGGGTGGCCCGCCTCTACTAACTGAGGGAGCCGTGGGCTGGGGCACGGACGGACCACCGGCCCCGACGCCTGGTGGGGGATACTTAGGAGAGGCAGGGGGACCCCCCCACCTCCCGCTGCCCAGGAGGCGGTGGCAGGCGCCCCCACAGGACTTAAAACGTTTTCACCGAAGACGGATGCTTACCCCTTATGGCCGAGACGGGCAGGATCGGCCGGAGCCCTAAGAAGGGCCGTTGGCACAGCGGCCTCATCCCCCAGTGTGGACACGGTTTGCCTCCTTGTACTCCATGGGCTTGGGGTGTGCAGAGTGACTTTTGGGAGGGTGGGATCAAAGGGGTCTTATTTGTATTCTGAATCACCAATTATATTCCCACGGATTATTTGGAAGAATATGAAGGAGAGACGTTTTTCCAGCTCAAAATGCCTTACACAGTCAAAAGGAGAAAACAGATGATGTGGTTTCAGGTTTCCTTTGTCAGGTCTGCTTCCTCTTGGGACCACTTCCCTCCCCTTACCCCCTCCCGCTCCCAGGTGGCCGGTGAGCTGCGCTGATGCTGAGTGACACCGCCCACCGCCCACAGCCCCCAGCGCACAGCCGTCCTGTCCTCAACCCCCTCCGCCCCATTTTGTAAATCCCTAAAGTGGGTTCCCTCTGATGTCTTGGACACCTGAATGCGCACGTAGCCACATCTTTGTATTTGAACCTGGGAGGCCGTCGTCCCTGCCTCTGGGGCTGACGGGGATGTGAGGGGTCGACCTCACGGCCCCCAGATTTCTGAAAGCTGGCAGATGCCCCCCACCCCGACCCGGAACCAGCGGGACTGAGTGGCCTTGCCCCGTCCCCCTTGGCACTTCCCGAATGAAATCCCACTTCCAAGAGGAAAGCCTGAAGAGAGTGGGGAGATGAGGGGGCCCGGGGACAGGGAGGGCCCAGCCAGTGCAGCAATCACAGAAGTTGGAGGACTGACCATCAGTGACTCCGTACACGTGGATTTGGTTTTTTATAAGTGATCACCACAAACCTCCTTTTTGAGCTTGTGCTGGGGGTGGTGGGGCCGGGGGGTAAGGTCTACGAACCCAGTCCGGGACAGGGAGGAAGCTCGTCGAGCCGCCGTGTGGTTTTCCATGAACCGTTCAGTGGAACATGCTGCCTCTTTTCACTTCTGTCCGTGCTTCCACATGGAAACAAAATGCAATAAAATTTTTCCAAAACCTGTTGTCACTGAGCCGTGTTCTCTCACAGCGCTGCCTTCAGGCCGAGCCGCGCTGGCTGCCGTGGGGCCTCTGTTCCGTTGCTCCTAAAGGCTATTTGTTTCTGCTCCTCCTCTTGAACGAGGTGTCCAAGGTGTCCACTGCGCTGTCTTTAAAGAACCCGTTAGCCGTCCGCCCTTGACCGAGCCTACCCCACCCACCCCCGGCCTCTCGCTGGCTTCTGCTGCCTGAATCCCCGGTTACAGAAAAGCCTTCCAGTCCGCAGAGTTTGCTGGAGCGCGGGGCCCCAGGAGAGAGGGACCCGTTTCCCTCTGCGCACCCAGCAGAAAGCGGTGTCTAGCTGGAGGAAGGCACTGGAAACCTCCACAGACCGTCCCAGCGCTATGAGGAGCTCGTCGTCATCCCTCCCATGTCACCAGAGACCTCCACGACCCTCCCCAAGGCAGTCAGCCCCGGTTTGCCTCTCCTGTGCTCTTGACGCCCTAAGTCAAGGCTGAGGTCTGGAGCGTTTGCTTGTGTTTGTTTTTTTTTTAATGCTGTATTTAAATCTAGTTGATAGTGTTTGTTTCCCACAGGCTCCCCCCACACACACTTTTTGCAGTTCGCTGAGGTGTGTGAAGTGTGGCTGTCCAGTGACTAGCGCAGTTTCGAAGGCTCTGGCCTGCTCCCGCCCCTCAGGAAGCCGTCCCTTGGGTCCTCCTGGCCGGGGTGGGGGGGAATATTTTATATATTCGGATACCCTCCAAACACTCCATCCTCAAGGCATTTTTCTTTTTTTAAGTGATCCCGGTTAGTTCTTTTCCCCATGGGATGTCTGAGGAAGGCAGTAGATGGTGCTGAAAATGTATTGATTTTTTTTTTATTACTATTGAGTCCTAAACATAGAAATTCATCATTTAAACCTGGAAATTCATCATTTAAACCTGGCGTCCTAGGCCTGTCCTTCCCAGACAACAAGGCTGCTTTAGACATCCTGTGTGGGTCTCCCTCTGTTCGGCCAGAGGGAAATGCCCTCAGAAGATAGGAAAACCCCGGGTTCCCTGTGGTTTTCCTCGCTCCCTCTCACTGGAACGGGAGACATTTTGGGGGAGCTCAGGGACCAGGGATGGGGCTGTCGTCGGCAGCGGGGTGACCTGCCATCCACACAGAAAGAAGCGGGCATCCCTGAGGGTCCCCAGTCTTCCCAGACGGCTGAGGAGAGAGGACGTGTCTCTGCACAAGGGTGGCCCAGGCTTTCGGCTTTGGCACAGGGGCTCCGGTGGTGTTGGGGGGGTACACCCCTGGGCAATGAGCCCGTGGCAGCCGTGGTCTTTCAGAGCGTGGGCCCTGGAGCGTGGCAGGGAAAGAGAAAGGAAGGCGACATGGCAAGCCGGATTAGGTGACTCCTTCCCAGCCATCGATTTCAGGCGGTGCTTCTAGCAACGGGGCCAAACGTGCAAAAGGCCTCTCCCTCCGGGCAGATGTCCGCCTCTGTGCCCAGGCTTGGTGACTTCGTGACCCCAGAATGAGTTTGGGTAGCAATGCAGGTCCCCCATCTCCTATTAGTCACACCATTTCCTCTCGGGAATACTTTGTCTCCAAAGAACCAAAGTAACACAACTGGAATGACTTTTGCTCCTCTGGGCTCGGCTGCTAAGAAAGTCACAAGCCACTTTCCACTGTGACATGGAAACCAGCCCCTGGCCAGTCTGCTGTGTCCCCAGGTGGAGGCTTCATTCCCCTGCCCTCTCCCTCGGAAAACAAGTTCTCTGTGGCACGACCTCCGTGAGCACCCCAGCAAGTCAAAGTCACTCCAGGGTCCATCCGCGCACACACAGGAGCTAAGAAGGAAGGAATGTTTGCCCCATACTCCGACACGTGGACATAGGGGCGTCCCAAACTTCTCTGCTACTGACCTTACACAGCCTGGCGACTGGGCATCAAAGGCTCTGGCCCCCCTCAGACTCGGGTTCAAGTCCCTGCTCAGGACTTCCTTCGCGTGTGACTTGGCGCAGTCGCTGACTTGAGCCTCCGTGATCTCACATGTCAAACCAGGGAGGCCGTCTGAATCACAAGGTCGCAGCGAAGGTCAAATGAGAGTCGTGACCGTCGCTGTGACAAAGCTGTCTGGCACCCGGCGTGGCTTCCATGAACGTTAGCGCTGCCAGACCTCTGCTCTTCAAACCACAGTCACAACGGCTCCTGATCCCTGAGACCAGCTCGTTGGTGAGAAGTGACATTTAAAATAAATAAATAAATAAATAAATAAAAATCCATGACAGTTGTAGAGTAAGTTATCATTTCATGAGACTTTGTCGGCGGCGGTGCACAGTTGTACAGAAAAGTGTTGCCTGTTGTGGGTCGAGTAAAAGGATGTGAAACAACAGATGAAGAGAGAATGTTCTCTGGCTGTCCAAGGAGGAGGGACGCGGCATGGGCAGCAGCATCTCCAATTTTCGCCATCCGATGATGTGGGGAGTCGAGGGGGCAGGGGGGACAATGAGGTCTTGCTCCGTGGGTCTCAGAGGAGTCCTTACAGAGCCTATGCTCAGGGTCTCTGCCTCCCTCGGGAGCTCTCGTCCTGGTGCGTTCATTCTGGGGACTCTGGTGTGTTCCCATGCAAATGACAGCTCATGTGTCATTGTGGCAGAGGGAGGGCCAGAAGCCCCCAGCCACACCCTCCCTTACAAGAGCTGTTGGCTCGGCCGTGCCGTCCTCCCCAGGAGTCAACCATTCTTGCTCGCTTGGGCCTGACGTAGGTATTACTGTTGTCCCTGCAAACCTCCCGCCAAAGGACTTTGCCTCTGGCACGCCTTCGACTCAGAATTGAGTCGTACCAGGATAAAGAGACCCCATTGGCTCCTCCTGAACCCACCGGCTCAGACCCTCACATCTCTCTTAGGCTGCACATGCGTTTGGAATATTGTCTTCCTCCAGACTCAGAGTTGACCTGGATGTTTGTCCACTTAACCTGCTCAGGAACTTCATCTGGTGGACGGGCCAGGCTCTGATCTAGAATGTTCTTAGGAGCTTGGTGAAGAGGCTGAGTGTCGCCATGAGTGCTCGCCACAGAGCACCATCGTCCTGAGGGCTCTTCTGCTTCATCTCCCTCTCTGGCTTTTTCCTCTGCCTTGGTGATCAGCACGGGTAGAGTGAGAATTCACAGGAGGACTGAAAACACCCTGGGCAGAAAGAAGGCAGAGACCGGTTCTCACCTGGGTTCCAACGAACAGCAGAACAAGTTTTGGCCACCATAGTGGCCTCTCAGACCCTGTTTTCCCACTTGCCAAATTGTCGGTACCAACAGCCACCTCCACTCAGGGCGGTTGTGAGGACCCCACAATCATGGCTATGAGCCAGCCTGCACACAGTCTGGGTGTCCCCTCTGTTGCCTGCCCTGCTTCCTGAGGATGTCCCAGCTTCCCTGAAATCATGCTTCAGATGCCTCTCTGGACAGGCTGCAAAGCATTGCCTGGGAGAGGAACACAGCATCCCCCAAAGCAAGTGTCTCCGGTGGCCCCTGTGGCTTCCGCTCAGCAGGGAGGCCTGGAGAGGGGCTGGTCCATGGGCACCAACAGCATCGGGTGCGCTTGACCTAGGCGAGGCTCCCTCAGGAGTTGCCAGCGAGGTCTGTTTTCTGAAACAGCTCTTCTGTTCTGATCAGTAACAGTAACACCCGCTCATTGGTGAAAGCTTGGGACGTGCAAGGAGTCCACAGAAATTAGTACAAATCACCTCTGACCCCATCCCCAAAGGTACCCGCAGGTCCCGTGATGTCATGTCCAACTACCCTGGCTTCCTTGCCTTGTCGCCAGTGGGCAGGATTTTCCAGGGTGACGTAGAACTGTATCAACACCGTTTTTCAGAGCTGAGTTGTGTTACACTTTGTAGAACAGCAGACTCAGCCATCCTGAGTGGGGGTCTCGACTGTTCCCGGCTTGTCATGTTGTCGCTCAGTGTTCAAGACTCTTGCTCACATCTGTGTGTCTCCGATTATTTTTTTTAACCTGTTCTTGTGACATAATTTCCAACTTGTTAACAAAAAAACGTGGCAGGAATCGCACAGAGAGCTCCTGTGTTTGCCTCCATCAGCCTTTCAACATGGAACCATTTCATATAAACACAATAAAATACAAAAACCTGGGAAACTATGGATGCGAGACCCTTAACAGACCTACAGGCTTCGTTCGGGCTTCTCCACGTGCCCCACCGAGACCCTTGTCTGTCCCGTTGCCTCGCTTGTCCCATCTGTGTTGTCTGCTCCAATCTGTGAATCCTCCATCTTTGTCTTTCATGAACTTCGCCCCCCCTTTTTTTTAATTAAGATGAAATTCACACAACATAAAATCAACCCCTTTAACACGTGCAGTTGCCATACAGCCATCACCTGTGTCTGCTTCCGAAGCATGTTTGTCAGACTTTGACCCTCTCGAAGATCAGAGGCCAGGTATCCGGTAAACTCCAATTTGCGTTTGGCTGATGTTTTCTAATGATTAGATCAAGAGTGTGCGTTCGGGGCGAGAAAAGCATGGAGGTGATGTTGCCCTGATTCGGCTCAGGTGATACCCGCCCGGTTCTGTCCCTGGTCTGCCCTCTGCCACTAGTGTCTTCCAAGGAGATACCCTGAGATCAGCTTCTTCAAACGACAGGTTTTTTCAAGAACCAAGAAACTTAAATCTCTGAGATGAAGTGGGAAGAGAGAGTGTTGGAGAGGGACTGGCCCGGAGGATGGGGCAGGCCTCAGTCTGTGGGTGTGCCTCAGTTTCTCTTTCTGCATAACAGAAGGGATCGTACCAGTTACGGGAGGCTCTTGTGTGGCAAAGAAGAGAGAACCCAGAACGAGGTCCTCGGAGGTTGTTCTGAGGTGGAATGGGTCGTGTGAATGAGCAGTGGCTGTGCCTCGCAAACCCTTGGCTTCTGGCTTCTGGCTTCCAGCGGAGGCGGAGGAAGGCAGAGGCTCCGGTGGGGCTGGAAGCCTTTGTGGAGGGGGCTGTGGTTGGAGAGCTGACCTGACTATGCCTTTCACTCCTGCGGGCTTGTCCCCTTTCCCCTCACCCTCTTTCTGTGGCCTGGCAGCTGAGACGCCCAGAGACAGGTGAGTGGGAGCAGGGGCGCACCACAGCTTGGGAGCAGGGGCGCATCTGCCACCGGAGCAGGGCCCCCCCACAGCGACCCTGCGCCCCCGTCGGCTGCCCGCCGCATGCTGGGCACACAGTCTGCTTTCGCGGCCCCCGTGTTTGTACCCCGCACTCTCCCCTGACTGCCTGCACC